TATCTATCTATCTATCTATCTATCTATCTATCTATCTATCTATCTATCTATCTATCTATCTATCTATCTATCTATCTATCTATCTATTTCTCAAATGTAGCTCAATTTCTTTGCAGTGTTTCATGAAAATTCATCCACTGATTGACGAGAAATTTGCTCAGCAGACAGACACAGACAGTTACATGACTGCCTGCTTTTCATAGCCTGTGACTTTTTTTTGCAATAAATATGAATAGACTTTTTGAAAGATAACATTGACAACATATCGTAAAAACAAGTTCACRCTGCTGAGATGAACAGGTGTTGAGACATTTGCATGTGAAGTAACAGGAAGTGACGTCTGCATGTAAACGGAGCATTGCTACAACGACGAAAAACAGACTGTAGAGAAGAATCTGATGTTTCCTTAGATTATTATGAGTCACTATGAGAGATGAAGAAGAGTCAGATCAAATTTTGTTTGAATAAACAAAGACCAAAGAGTCCTTTTTTTAAGAGTTCCCCTTTGATGTCACTTCCTGTTTCACTCTGGTTGAGCCAAGTTCAAAAGAAAATATGACTGTTAAAAAAGAGGTAAAATCGTGTAATTTGTCAAGTTTCTTAAATATAATGGTGTTTTCTTAGACGTTTTGTATTTGAAGGATATACAACTTTAAATTTGCCATTTTGTATGATGTACAGAAAGTGCTAAAAGTATAAAAAAATATTTTAATACTGTTTAAATGAAGCAAATGGGATTATTGTGATTGTGAAAACAAAATACAAAAAATGTGTGATTTTTATTTTATTAAAAAACACCTCTCTACATGATTGAACTTCCTGTTAAGATTGTGCTACATAATGTCTCTGCTACTGAGAAACCAAATCATTGTGGTCTTTTAACGGTAACTCACTGATGATGATGTTGTTTCTCAAGGATCAAAGTCAAATTCAGTAAGATGACAAACTGTTAGGTTATTTGACAGTTTCATCTGTTTTTTTTCTCAGAAACGTTAAGAAATCCTCCCTTGCTTTAAGCAAAGCAAAGCAGGATCGTGTGAAATCCCCCAGCAGACCCCCTCCTGATGGTCAGTTCTTACTCTCTTTGTATTGTTACTATGTGGTGCATTGTAACAGATTTAAAGTATACTTCTTTTGGGTAAGGGACAAAAGAAGTATAACTGCAGGCACTCTTCTTTTTCTTCAGATTCTTCAGAGTCTGATGAGCTTTCACATCTCAGGAGGTCTGGCAGCTCTGAGCGAGGGGACGACCGTCGCCGCAGGTACAACAACATGATTTCAAACACCAAAACAAACCTTTATTTCAAGTTAGCTTTAACCGCAGATTTCTTCTTTTTAAGGTTAAAATTTATACGATTATGTTAGAGAAATCCCAAATACTAAAGCCATGAAGAAAGGTTTTACTAAGTCACATCTGCTTGTTGTTGGTTCCATATTTGCAGTTCTGTTTGAAATTATTGGAGTGATTTAGAAGTTTCCAATAGAGATAAGTGCAAAAATTTGCTTTATCTCCAAGGCTCTGGGTAATTTGTTTTAATTTGATTATATTTTTGCCAAAAACCTGCAGCCTATATTTTCTTTATTTATTTTACATACGGTCTATAAGTATTGAGACATTGATGTGTTTTAACTGCAGAATTTCAGCTTTAATTTGAAGTATTTACATCCAGGTCAGGTGAACGGTGTACGAATGTTGCTTTTTTTTATCACATGTGATGTTAAGGACCAAAGTAAAGTAACCGTCTTACTGGCAAACATTTACATTGAGCATATGGTTGCTTATGTGTGCCTTTTCATACATGTGTAAATGCTCATAACAAACGTTGGTGATGACTATTGCATTATTGTGGTTGTATTGTGAAAGGCAATGGGAAAAATGGAATCTGAACATACCTGGGATGCCAAAAAGCCTGTGAGGGGCACAGTTCCGCTTATAGCGGTATTAGCTTCTCATATAGCGGATTAGCTTTTTTTTTGCTAACTTTTGCAGACTGATTAGCTTCCACTAAATGAAGTTCTGGGGTCGGATTTATAAAACTTGCGTACGCACAATCTGAGCCCAGAAACGTGCGTACGCCACTTTTCATGCCAAGGTTGTAATTTATAAAATCCAGTCTTGACGTGAAAATGTGCGGTGCCTCACGCCAGCTCTRACCCACGCGTACGCTCATTTTGGAGACGTGAAACTGCGACACAGATGGTGAAGTGAGATTGTCAGATTTTTGTGCTGCTGTGCGTGCGTGTGTGTATGTGTGTGAGGGGGGCTGCCGCAGATAACAGAGCAGGCAGGAGGGGGAGGACGGGGGAGAAGGGTGATGAATTATTTCTAATTTTATCTGACTTATTTAATTTTATTGTTTTTATCGTCCTGCAGGCTCTGAGAGAAAATTAATTTGAAACTGAGTTTTTGATAAAAAAAAAAATCATTAGATTACTCTAAACGTACAGTATGTAAACCTGCAAATTGAGGGAAAATCTGTGTCAGTTACAGACATTCTGTTCACGTGAGCAGCTGTCAGTCAGCACCTGTCATCCTCCAGAC